ATCACTAGAGTTTTGGATTCGAAATTTAGATATGAAAAATACTTCATTAAAGAGTACTACAACAACAATAACAATAATATATTCAATGAAATCTCATAAAGAGAGATATGAGAAGGGTAGAGTGTACGCAGATCCTACCACTACCTCGTGAAGGTTAAGACACTATTTTTAAAAAAAGTCTTGATTTAAGTGTATCAAACTCAAGTAAAAGGAGAAGAAAGCTACAAGAAAAAATAATAAGAACTATAAAAAAAAAAGTGATAATTGAACACCAATACCAACACAACTATAAGAGTAGGACCAGTCTTATAACTGATCCTAAACCTTAACAAGACAAGACAATACTTCTATCCAAATACATGATCTCCACTCCTTTCTATCTAAAGTCATGTCCTTGATCGATAATATAAAATTGTGTTATGTCCTGCCTAATCACCTCTCCCCAATACTTTTTCGGCCTACCCCTACCCCTCCATGTACTTGCTACATCCAACTTTTCGCACATTCTCTACACATTTTCAAATCATCAGTCTCGCTTCCCTCATCTTGTCATGAGCCAAAGAGGCTACTTCTATCTTCTCCCAAATAACCTCATTCCTAATCTTGTCACTCCTATTATACCCATACATCCATATCAATATCCACATCTCTGCGACATACATCTTCTGAATATGTGAGTTCTTAACTGGCCAACATACGATCCATTAAAGGAGATGAATAGTAACTTGTATTACATATTAATTAAGTCTCTTATTGTCAAAACTATGTTATGACCTTTAGGGAAAATATTGAAGATAGTTCTCTCTAAATATTTGAAGTTAGGTGTGGATTATTTCTACTCATACATATCTAATCCACACACTCCAAAAGACTATTTTAGTTACTATGATGGGACTAATAAATATATATAGTAATAATAATTGTGAATATGTATGACTATTACAGAAGTATATATCCATAAAGAAAATGGTATTTTCGAATCATTCATAAAAAACAAAAGATATATATAATTAAAATCAAGTTTATAAGGATGTGTGGCCACTATTATATTTCTTTTATCCTGAAAGTGTCACACCATCTTTAATTCATTGTTTCTATTACTCTTAGCCGGCGTTCGGACATGTATAATTTAATTGTTGTGTTTGAATATGCGACTTAAAATCATAATTTCATATATTAAATGCTTCAAAAAAAAATCTGGAATTTCAAAATTTCAATATGTAAAATTTGATCCATAAGTTTATAATCTGTATTAAGAAAAGAAAAAAAACTCATCATTTTAAATTTTACAAAACAAATAAACAAAGAAGAAGAAGAAGAAAGAAGTCATGTTCAACATATTTAAAGAATAACTAGTTGCTACTATTGTTAACTAGTGAATATTAATAAAATTATGTGTATCTTTATAAGTTTGTAATCACAAATATTTATTTATAACAAAATAACGAGATGTATGATTTATCAATATAATATCTTAAGATATTTTGATATATTATTTATGAACTGATGATCATCGGACCAACTACGAGTTGGTTAACTGAGCTATTAAGGGTTGTGGTTATGAGGCCAGAATAGTGTTCTATAATTTTTTTTACTTGAACTTTCTAATAAATAATTACTGATTTTAGTGATACTTTTTATTTATTATCATTTATGACATTACATAGCAATATACTACCCCCTCCATTTCAATATTAAGTTAATTTTTGAGGCATTTTTCATTTTTCAAAAACTTAATTGTTCAGGTTTCAAGATTACTTTTAGAGTGTTCTTCCAATTTTACCCTTCATTAGTTAGTATTGGAATTAGTGATTAATTAATACTTAGTTATTTTAATCATAAATTTGACAATAATTAATAAGGGTAAAAATGGAAAAACTAGATTCAATTTATGTCTTAATCTACTTTTCTTAAAGGGTGTGAAACACCTTAAAAATTAACTTAATATGAAATGGAGGGAGTATGTTAAATATGCACCATGTATTAAAAGTAATTATGCATGCAATATAGATGTATTTAAGTGTTTTAAAATATATTGTGCTTGTTTGATAAGAATTTGACATAACATATTGTAAGTGTAATGAAGTGTGTGATAAATGTATAATTCATCAACAAACTTATATTATATGTGTTTTCTAAATTGTTTTCTATAATATGTATTAAAACTGTATTATAAATATATTTTGTTACCGTTATAAATGATAAATATTTTCTTAATATAGTTTAAATTTTTTTTAAAAATCCCCAATTTTTACATTTTGAACACTTCTACAAAAAATAGTCGGTTACTTTTTTCCATTGTTGACTTCTCCTATCTTCTTTTTTGGTGACTAACCTCAATAATATAATAGCCTTTTTTCTTTAGAACGTCATGGTTTTTTTTTTGTCATGTTTGTATTAGCTAATAGTAAGGTCCCTTTCGATTCTTCTCTTATGTTTTTTTGGGTGTATTTTTCTTAGAGTTATTATATTTGTTCATAATTATGTCTATCAATCCATAAGTTGCTTGACGTTGTGAATAAACTTTATTCTTAATTGACATATATGCTTGTCGTGGAAACTTTTGACTCTGAATATCCTAGATTAATTCAAACTTGAATAAAAAGGAAGGTGAAAAATGATTTATATCGATCGCCTGAATGCATTAATTTAAAATGGATTTTATGTTGGGTTAGGTCATGGATAGGTCGGGTCTTTTTGGATTGGGTCATAATTTTATGTGGATTAATATATAAAGGTCATATATTTATGGGAAAAAGGATAAAAATGTCCTCCGTTTATAGTTTAGCTCAAAAATGTCCTTACCGTCAATACTTTGGTTGAAAAATGCCCTTGCAGTCGATCCAAAAACTAGAGCATATATGTCCTTCACTCTAATGGAAGACTAAATAGGGACACATGACACAATCTTATCCGTCCATCTAATATTTAATAAATGTTAGGTCAGTGGATAAGATTAAGACATGTTTATGTCTGTTAGTTTATAGGGTATATATGCTCTAGTTTTTGGACGGCAGGTATCTACATACCATTTACGATAGTTCGGGGTATATTTGTCCTTTTTTTCAAAAGAAAATAATAATATATTTATTTGGATAATGAGCATTTTGACCCATTATTAAATAACAATAAGGGTATTTTTTTGACCAATGTATTGACGGCAAGGACATTTTTGGACCAAACTACAAACGGAGGGAATTTTTGTTTCTCTCCCATAGTTTAAGTGCATTTTTGAACCAAAATATTGACGGTAAGGGTATTTTTGAGCCAAACTATAAACGAAGGACATTTTTATTCCTTTCACATAGTTTAAGGATATTTTTGACCATTTTTCCTATATTTATTTAAATGGAGTATATAATTAAATTGTTAATAGAAAGACAATTTTAAACATGAAAATAAAGTTAGGCACGAATTTGATTCACTAGTTGAAAAGTCATTTCTAACAAGTTAATCACATTTTCTTTATCCAATTGATGAAAAAAAAGACAAATTTAATTCAATAAAAAGACAAGGATAATTTAAAATCCTTTTTAATACATTAACGATATTATTTTTTTTATCCTTTTCCGTTTATTTAGTAGTGTGATTAATTGATGATATATAGGAAAAAAAGCATCACGTATTATTTGAAACGAAAAGAGTAGACGTAAATAATTTTTTTTAATTATTATTTTTTATCATTATTATTAGTTGTGGGGTATATAAGTCTTATTATTCTACGTCATTATCCACTAATCAACAGAAGACAATAAAAAGGTGCTAGGAAAGTATCAAATTATGTTGTGCTTTTGTCTAATCAAATGAAAAGCTTCTTTTAATTAGATTTAGACGTGTCACTTTTCTCAATTAATGAAATTAACAGATCTTTTTCTTTATGGTAGTTTTCAACGAGAAACGTAGAAAATGCCTAAAAGCTACATTGTCAACAAAGTTGATAACAATTGACAATTTTATTAGACATATCAGGTTAAAACTAATTCTGGTACACACATCTGGATCTGAACACAACAATCAAAGTTTCAAAATTTAGGCCTCCAATCATAAAAAAAAGCCTTTTTATTAAAAAGCAAGAAATAACTTCTAGTCTCAGATATAAAAAAAAATGAAAATTTAGGCCTCAAATTTATTTTTGACTTTAGACCACTAATTAGCTTGAGCCGTCACTGCGTACATGGCTAGTAAATTCATATGGACAGAACAAGTTCACTAAGGTGCCATGCAAAGTTAGCTAACATGAATCATATACATTCCTAAGCTGCATTACTCCAAAATAAGAAGACAGAGAACAAGAATTTTACTAACGCCGTTTCATTTAGCAGAGAAGCCTTCTTCCAACTCTTTCCAGCATATGACTCAAGTCAACCAAAATGAAAGGACAACCACCATGAAAAGGAAAATAAACATTTGGGGGGAAGGAACACCTTAAGAAATTATCTAGGAAATAGAACATTAAAATGGCATACAGACTACAGTAGGCGCAAAACTAAATAAACTCGATGAAATACAATACCAATGTCAATGATGATTACATGGAAATACATGATCATTAAGGATTCATATAGCCGATCCCAACTTCTCTAGAACTAAGGTGTAGTCGTTGTACAATACCAACGGCAATTTAATTTAGAAGTCCTAATAATCAAGGGAAAGTGTGTGAGGTGAAAATAGTTACATTAGAAAACTCCACAATGATGGGCCTCCCTGCAGTTACAAGCAAAACTTTGAGGAACTAGTCATATTTTTAAGTATCTAAACAAGTAACATAACCAAGAGATAGCTGCCTATCAACAAGTCACTGGTTTGGCAGAATAAAGCAGTGATTTATTTTGGCTCAAACCCTTTATTTGGGCTAAAATATATATGTACAAATAATCTACAAAACTCAATAAGCAAAACAAATTTTGATTCGAAAACCACAAACTAAAAATTCTGGTTCCGTCTAAGGGTACTAAATCTTTATACCATTTTAAACTATCTCACTTGATGCTCTAATACTTTTACAAGGAAAGGATTAGTGCAGAAAAAATGTTACCAGCATAAAGTCTTCCGGTAAAAATTTTAAGAGCTTTTGCAGCCTGTTCCTCCTCTCTAAACTGAACATAAACGTTGCCAACCTGCATGTGCACATTGTACATAAATAAAATGCCAACCCATAATCTAAATCATCCCCAGAAAAGACTTACCATATGATCCACAATATTGTCACAAATGTTCAAGTTCTCAATCTCTCCATAATTGTTCAGTTCTTCAAATAAATCTTCATAAAAATCCTGCAACATCATCAAAATAAGTGACATTCCATCAAAAGATCCACCTAAAGAACCTATCTGAAAAACATAATATGATAAAATGAAGTATGAGAAGACTCCATCTGCAGATAGAATCACATATTAAACATCTCAAATTAAGAATACCACTTACATAGTATCTTGAAACAAATATCTTTTTGCCCATAAAAAAAACAAAAGAAGCTTTTAGCTTACTTCTTTTTGTTCTACAATTCTTCCATTAGAGGCGGAGCCAAGGTTAGCAGTTTAGAAGTTCTAAATCAATTTTGTTTGAGATTTCACAAGTTAATTTTTTAATACAAATATAGGGTATACGAAAAAGCTGATGGGTTCGTTCACCTAGCTCCGCCTCTGAGCAAATCCACAAACGAGCATACAATTTACTAGTTTTAAGAATCATTAACATCACTAAATATCTACATCACCATAAAATAACTAGAAATCCAAAAAAAAATAAAATGAAAATTGATAATTTAGATTTGTTTACCTCAAAATGTTGCTGCATTATGAGAGGATCAATACGTGTAAGCACGTCGGGCCTTTGATACATGTTAGGAAGGAGAAGCGTAGGGCTAATACTGGGTTTTGTATGAAGCCTAGAACCACGATCGCCATGTCTACAAGCACCAATTTTGAAGTAAAATGGACAATTCACACTGTCTTTCTCTGCACCAAAAATCGATGCCAAATGCTCCGTCATTACACTTCAGTTCAGTTCACACTTCTCTCTTTAGGGTTTTTCTTGGTCTGAAATGGAAGAATATTGATGGATGATGAAGAAGAAGAATTTATACAAACTTCTGGATGATTCTAAAAAGTGTTAAGAGTTGTAACTAACTGTTAGTGAAAACTTACAAAATAACAAAAATACAATATTACAATGAAGAAATAAATCTCTTCAAGCTGAGGTACGGATATCTCGCTCTCTTTAAGAAGATTCAAATCCACTGCAGCAAATGTTTCCACCGATCCAGCAGTAGTCCTTTTTGACTTGTCCCCTCCAGGATACAACAGCTTTAACACAAAGTATAACTCAACAACTCTGGACAAGAGTTGAGTCCAAAGCTCCACAAAAAGAAACACATCTCTTCAACTAATAAGAACTCTCTTTTTGACAAATCTTATGCACTCTATATTTTTTGTTGTATTGTGTATTCCAAACCAAATGAAGACCATCACTATTTATACTAGAAGAAGTCTTCCTAGCAATGAATAGGAAGATGAAGGGTGTAGTAAATAGTGAAGATAAATTATTTAGGGGTTACATATGTTACATAGGTTACAAGGTATGATGGAGGAATAAAGAGTGAATAAGTAAATGAGATAAAAAGCTATCAGCCACCAACGGCTTAGACCTTAGTTGCTGCACCAGAAGTTTGTAACATATGCACTTACTGCCAATGGAGTAATGCAGTATAGTAATGTAGCAATCATGACATTTCAACGGTTGCAAACTGAAAAGTCACTAAAGATTGGCAGCAACGGTCAACACTAAGCCATATCAAATTAATATACAAAACATTAATATTAAAATGCTAATAAACCAACACTAACTAATTTAACTTGTAATGCATATTTCATTTAGATATCAAATTAGTTTTAATTAGATATTTTAAAGAAGAAGAATATTTTTATGTATCAAATAGTTGAGTTAATAGTATAAAATATAGGCAAAATGTTCTGATGGACCCTTATACTTGTATGAGTTTGTATTATGGACCCTTCTATTTAATCTTTTACCAACTGAACCCCTGAACCCATTGATATTTAGTATTTTAAACCCTTTTCTCACATTGTGGATAGTGCGTGTAATACACCTCCTACATGTCAAATTCCACCTCATTTTTACCTGCCACGTAGGAAATAAAATGGTAAAATTAAATTAATGCCCCAAAATTTTATTTGAAAAATATTTTTCTCTTTTTCCAATTATCTTCCAGATTTCTCTTCTTCCTCCTCTCTCATTCCACAGGTTTTCACTAGTAAAACGCAGTACCAATAAAATTGTCCGTACACCGCGATGTGGTGGTGGAGCTACCACTCGAAGATGGAGAGGGTGACTGCTCCACATTCGATTTGAAAAAAGCAGTGATGGCCCAAACGGATGCGATGCTCGCTCCAAAACCCTAGATCTCACGACTCGTCCAAATTACTCAACCCTCAGATTCTCTTCATTCACTCATCCTCCATGTTTCGTTTTCTTTTTCTTCCCCTCTTTGTAATTTTGGATCAATTTAACTTTTTAGTTTTTTATGATTTTGTATTCTGACGATTTGCAGAAATTGGAGTTGTTGATAGCTCCAACCATGTTAAGTTCGGAGGAAACAAAATACTTGTTGAAGAATAGGATCGATAAGTCTATTTATTTTTTTGGAGCAATGAAAGAAATTTGTTACTTGTGAAAATTCTTTGTAGAGTAATAAAGACTGAATTTGTTCAAGAAATAATGAATCCTTTGAAGGAGATGAAAGGCAACCTGAAACAATTTAAAAAATGGAGAAAGAATTTGGAGATAAGTAGAAAAGCCTAAAAAAAAAGCTTTTTTTTTGTCCAACAATGGTAAATGAATAAATGGGGAAGAAGATACTCTTAATTAGGTCAAAACTTGACATTTTGAATTTTTTTGTAAGACTTCACGCTCTTATTTTATGTGTATCACACGCACTTTGAAAAAAAATGCCACCTAGGATGACAGGTCAAAAAAAGGATTTAAAATATCAAGTTTCAATAGGTTTAGGGGTTTAATTGGTAAAATGTTAAGTAGAAGGGTCCAGAATACAAACTCATACAAGTACAAGGGTCCATCAGACCATTTCGCCTAAACTATATCACTTAAACTACACAAATGTTTAAATATTTCTTTCAAAACTTTCGAGTGAATTAAGTACCCCTAAGGGGTGACATGACAGAATGAGTGGACTCACTCTCCTAAAAGCGAGTGAAAAAACAAAAATGAACAAATTGAATTATAAAAGAGAGAAAATGGTCTAACCCCCCCCCCCCCAATCTATACCTAAAATCTCAGCTACACACTCTAACTTCACGAATGTCCTATCACCTCCCCTGTACTATTTAAAAATGAAATAAATAACCCCTTAAAACGCTATAACCACTCATGTAGTCTTGTGGTGAAACACACGCACTTGACACGTATTTTTCACCAATTAATCTTTTTTTAATTATTTTTCTCCTTCTTCTTTATCCTTTCTTCCTCAATTATTTTTTCAACCTTAATTCTTTGTGAAAAGTTTCTATTTAAAATAATATTGAGGGATTTGAATTCAACTTGGGAGAATTTTTTTTTGTTGAAGATTTAATTACCTAGTGTAGTTGTAGAGAAATGTAGACTTGCCGCCTCCTCTATCCTTTTCTTCAACCCCGTCGCTAAAAAGATTGATATCACCGCCACCATCTCCACCTCCACCTCCACGACCCCTAAATGTTTTACTAGGAATAAACTATGATCTAATCCTTTCAGGTTAACTTCCACATTATCTCTTAGTCATATGAGATTTTTTTCAAAAACAGATGAGGGATTTTGAATAGAGATCTAGAAGCCAAATGATTTTTGAGGAGTTTAAGAAAAGGATGAACGCGGCGGTGGATTTTGAATAGAGATCTAATCCTTGGTTTCCGCCTTTATCACCTTCCATCTCTTCACCATTAACTCTTTCACTTTCTTCACCTGCCCAAGGTTTTAACCCAAAAAATATTTGTTGTCTTGTCAATCAAATTGAATACAAAGTTTTGTCTTCTATAACAAATAAATTTAATTTAAGCCCTCTTTAGTATATAAAGTAGTTGAATTTATATTCAACATTAAAAAAGAAGTATCTTTCTTCAAAAAGTTAAGAACATTGTTATGTAAAGACACAAAATCTTATCAAGAGAAGAAAAATTTTGATGGATTGGTCTAGATTACAAATTAATTCTTTACAAGGATTAAGAATTAATTAGGAGAAATTCGAAAAAGGTTGCCGAAAAATCTTCCAACTCCGATCATGGAAAAATTTAGATAATAAGAAAGAGAAAGAAAACAGTGAAAAAAGAAAGGGAAAAAACGATCAAAAAGAAAAAAAAATAGTCAGCTGAGAGAGTGAATGCACTCTCTGTGCTAACTCAGCATTTCAGGAGTTATTTATTTTATTTTTAAATAGTCCAGGAGGTGATAGAACACCCGTAAAATTGAAGTGTATAGTTAGGATTTCAGATATAGGTTGGAGGAGTTTTGAGCCATTTTCTCCAAATATTGTACACATGACATATTTTTATTGGCTAGTATTAGACTACTTTTTTAAATATTTTTTTATAAATTAACTTCTTCTTTTTTAAATACATGATATTTTTAATTTAGAGGCAAATAAAATTTGGGGGTCTCATTTTTTTTAGAAAAAAATTAATCTTTTTTTCTCTCTTTATTTTGTTGTCTTCCCTAAATAATTTCTTTTCCATTGAAGCACTCTTATACCTTTCTTCTTCCTTATTAACCATTATTTCTCTATCTTTATCCCCCACCTCTGCACCCTACTTCCATTCCACCACCCCTTTTATAATCCACAAAATCCAACATCATATTATTGAGGTAGATTTTAAGTCTGGACACCGGACTGCGATGTATCGGTACCGGTTCGGTACCATTCCGGTCCGTTCCGGTCTGATAGTCTACAGGACGGAACGGGACACCATGAACGGGTACTCGGGATGGGACGGAATCGAATATTCATTCCGGTAATCCCGGCACTGTTGATCCCGATAAATTTCGGTTCCGGTCCGGTCCGATTCCGGTTCGATAATCCGGTTAATAATATATTTTATTAATTAATTTATATTTTATATTTTATAATTTATAATTTATAATTTATAATTTATAATTTATAATTTATAATTTATAATTTATAATTTATAATTTATAATTTATAATTTATAATTTATAATTTATAATTTATAATTTATATATAAAAAAAATAAAAAGGCTGAAAAGCCTTTGAGTTTTGAGTCTTTTGACTTCCTTTCCCTCATTCCCTCTGTCCCAGGCGGCCAGGTGGCAGCTTTTTCTGAAAAGCTGTCTGCTGCCTGCCGTCTGGCCCCTTCCCACTGCCCCATGTCCCTTTCCCTCCCAAGTCCAAGACTCCCAACAGCTCCATTTCAACGTCTCAATTCTCCAACTCCATTTCAACGACAATATTTTCCAACACATAATTACAATTACAAATTACAATTTCTAAAAACTATATATACTCCCTCTCTTTATATTTTTAAGGTAACAATTAACAAATATTAATTTCTCTCAAATCTCAATCTTTCTCAAAGTTTCAAGTTTCAAGTTCCAAATTTCAATCATATTATTTTGTAATTGTGAAGATTTGAATAATCATTTGGTGAATTTTGGAGGAGGAATCATCTTCAAACTTCAAGTTTCGATATTAATTTTTCAATTTTCGGTTATAATCGTTTGTTCTTTACACAAACGTTTGGTAACTTCGTTCCACTCTCTAATCTTATATTTATTTTTTATTATTATTTGTAAGTTTTTCTTATTATATTTTATTTGTTCTTGTTAAATTTCTTATTTTATAATTTATAATTTAATATCATGGAGTCTTCTAAAAGAAATGGTAAAGGTAAAATAGGTGTTGTAGAAAAAGTAAAAATATGTGTATAAGAACTAATAAAGGCTCTAGTTCTTCTAAATCTAAAGTT